GACCTGTATGTTAACGACGTTTCGTCAACCACGGACAGAATTTGCCAGAAACACGCCTGTTTCGTGTCGGTGCATGTTTTTCTAGAATAAGCGAGAACATGTTTGTCCTTTTGCTCACTACAACATTGACATAATTTGTATTCTGCATGATGCCTCTCCAGTCTACTGCTAAAAGATGGTTCACAACAGGGCCGTAAATCTGTCATGTGAACAGGGGGGTCAGCAGGGCAAATCAATTTAAAGTGTGCTGTGGTTCATGGCACCACCAAGCAATTTATGGTATGTGTTATGAAAAAAGTTGAAGGGCAAATGACTTGAAAAACAAAAGTCAAGATTTTGGGATTTCTTTAGACTTTGTACATCTGACTTGTGTGTATAATTTGATAGATAAATTTTTCAGAGACGGCCCACGAAATTGAGCCTTGGGAGCTAGAATCAGGTTTAGTGACGTAGGAGGACCCACCATGGTTGGGCCGACGCAAAGAAAGGCTAAAAAAGCATCCCCCAGACTAAATTTAATAAAATATTAGATCGCTCAGGATACAAAATTCAACGTTTCTCAGAAGAATACAGATTATTGTTTATTGAGCGAAAATGTGTAGGGGAAGAGCCATGCTTAAACTCTAGTGACAGACGTTGGGGAAAGTAGGGATGATGTTGCATTGATTGGTAGAATTTCGCTTCCTGAACAGAAATGTGCGTCTTCCTTATTTTGAGTGTTTTAAGTAGGCTATGTTTACACATCAAAAATGAATACATTGTAATGATACAGAAAGTGATTTACTAAATAAAAGCAAATTATTAAACAAATAATAGAAATATGCGTAAATAAGTTGATAAATAGGGCAAATAAAATATCAGTTTGCTTTCTTTTTATTTCATATTCTGTTTTCAAACGTAAAACGGTAAAAAACGATAAAAAACAGATAAAAACCACTCTGCTTACAAAGATAACGGCTATCAACATAAGTCAACTTGCACTTGACACCATGACTTGGTGGCTGAGTTTTGTTGCAATAACACAGATAGGTAAGACTGGGTTTGGTTCAAACCCGGCTACCAGAGATTCGTTTCTTCTAAACAAAATGATGATAATTTATCAAAAAAATTATTTTGCTCCAGATATTTGGGGGGGGGTCCAGTCCCCCCGTCCCCCCCCCCCGGGATTTACGGCCCTGGTTCATAAACTCAGTTTGATCAAAGTTCTTCATTTGCCTTGTAGTAATACTTTTGTGTTGTTTTTTGCACGCACCACGAAAATTTCTAACACAAAAGACCAAGTAATGATTGCTGAGGGAGGATTTATGTATTCCAGAGGTTACTATATTACTTTTGTTCGTCGTAGCTTTATGATCTATTAGAGTAGCGGTGATCAGTGTCTCACGAGAAGGGCCTTCAATTAATTGATGAAAGTCAAATAGATAATATATATTTCCAGCAGACTTAGAGAATGAGCTGGATAGTCGTTTGAGAAGACGTAGAGTGTTGCAGTTTGTTTGCAGAAAGATCTGGAGGTTCTTTCTTTAAATCATTAGTCCCACAAAGAAGATAAGAATGCATATATTCAATTGTGGCTCAAGGAAACGTTTTAATGAATGTTTTGATATGGGGAGATTCCATGTTGACATCTGCTGCAATTTACGTGTGCTCTTCTTGTCTGGCGGCCTTTTCAGTTAATTCTGTTCCCAGTTCACACAGCCTCTCTTCATCACTAGATATATTTCTAATTTTACTCTTTCCTGCCTGTTCCTGTTCTTGATGACTGCACTCAGAAAGCCTAACTTAGCACAAGTCAGAAGGCTTTTCACGAAGATTCGATGCTTTGCCTGTGTTGGTTTCTTTATTTTGCGAGGATAACGCAGGTTCTTTCTGAAGCATATCCACAAAGAAAGATTCTTTACCTCTTTACCAAAATTAGGCATAGTTTACTCCCCGAGCTTGTATCCGACTTGGACGCGCGGAGAAATTGATTGCAAAAGAAGAGAAGATGTTTCGTTTGCTTGAAAACCGGACACCACAGTTGATTGTGCACGAGCAGAATACGCTGCTATTATTGACAAGGAAAGCATCTTTCATCAATTGGTGGATCACGCACAAAGAATTTATCAAATAATGCCGAAAGATCGTCTCAACATTATCGCCCCTTAGCAAAAAGCACTGAGCCCACCGTCGAACGTTCGTAACAAAATGTGCCTCAAAACAAAATCAATGTATTCAAAGTACGAGTTAATTTACATCTCAAGGTATTGAAAATTTCGCCACACTTGCAAACTTCTAAAACAAACGTTAATCGCATTGATAATCAATACAACTTTTGTGATGTAAGATTGATTTTAGACTTTTTCTCACAGAAAACGTACATATCTAGATTAAGAGAAAGAATTCAGCTTCCGACTGTTAAAACCAGCAAGGTATTGATTAAAGAATTTGGCAACAACAAGGGCACACTCAAAACATGCGATACAGTTCAATTAACCGTTGGATGTGCAGATAATCGAGCGCATAGATGAAGCAGATGACAACACCAAATCAATTTCAGAGCATCACATTTTGCATACAGGTGTCGTAAATCAGGAAAGAGGAACTACAAAATTGCGCTCTATACTGCAGGCAAAGTAGCTTAAACGAATGCCTACATTCTGGGCCAAATTTAATTCCGTTAAAGTTTTGCAATTCTTGATAATTCAAAGATCGCTAAATTTAGATTTGCTTGACTCTCTTTTGGCCTAACCTGCTCATCGTTCATCTTAAACGCAACTATAAGGTATCATACGAAAAAACTGATCCTGAATTCGTTTGTGATTTTGTTAAATCACTATAAGTAGATGATTACGCATGCGAATTTGTATCAGAAGATGAATCGTTCGAAGTTTACAAGTAGCTTAAGCACTGTTTTGAGGAGCAGAGAGGTTTTAACGCGTGAAAATGGCCACCTTAATCGCATTCACGAGTCCAAAAAAGATGCAGAGGATGCAAAGAAATAAACTGTTTGTATTAAAAAGTGAATTTAAAACTGAAGAAAATTCTTTCAAAGCGAGCGGGGAAAAGAGTAAAATGTATTGGGATTACGCTTAATCAAAAGGACGTGCTAAAATTCGATTTAACCAATGTCAAATTCGATTTAATTCTACCGCGCGAGAGCACATTACAATGCGTCACATTCTGAGTAGCATCGCGTGAATTTACGATCCGCTAGGTCTTTTGTGTCCAGCAATGTTACCGCCCAAACAATTATTTCAGGATGTTTGCAAACTAAAGGAAAATTGGGACTTAAAATTGTCCGCGGAATTCTGTAAATAGTGGTATGATCAGGCGCAGATCTAGCTTAAGTTTGACGGGTTTCCTTGTGCTTTCCCCGTTTCCTCTTATGTTTTGGTCTTTATGCACATGATGCTAATAATATATATATATATATAAATATATATATATAAATATATATATATTGTACAGTTGAAAAGACGTGTACACTAGTAAAAATGCAAATTTTGCCGACTAGTTTCGACTTTCTGTCGTATTCATGGCAATCAACTGATTCCAATTACATAAAGCATATCTAAATATAGGCTATTCTAATGTGACGTTTCATTGTTTATTAATATGATGTAATACCTCACCCCAGAAATAAAGTCTGTTGTTTGACAAAATGCACGAATGAATTAGGAAAACGAGGTTATGAAATGTATTGCCCTATATAGGGCTATTGAGTTCCATGTTTAACCCAAGCGGACTTAGGGTTTTCAGTTTTTTTATCCAAAAGTCTTCTCGTCGTTGCAGTCGAGATCTTAAGAGTTCCTTGTCGCCTTCAAGAGACTTAAGCTGTTCAATTATTATAAATTTCGCGTCATTATTGAAGTTGTGGGAAGTGTTGTTAAAATGTTGGCAAACTGGTATTGATGCTGATTTACTTGAGTCTTTTCGGTGGTTGTTTATTCGTAGATTGACTTGTGTTTACCAATGTATTGTAAACCGCATTTTATACATCCTAGTAGATAGATCACATACTTACTTTTGCAGTTAACCTTATGTCGGATCACATAAGTACGCTTGGTTTGGTTACTTTTAAAAGTTGATGTACTCAAAACTTGTTGGCAACATAAATTGCCTTGTTTAGTATTACATGGTTTACAATGACCCTTTTCATTACGGCTTTTAGATTTTGCTACTTCATTGTTGGATATTTTATTACTCCCAAGGATATCCCTTAAATTCTTGTTACGTTTGTATGACATCATGGGAGGAATTTTGAAGCTTTTCGCGATTTTGGGATTGATGTTAAGGATGTACCAGTTCTTACGTAATATACTTCCAATAGGTGGAAGGGTTCTGTTATAGGTCGTGATGAATGGAGTTCTGTTACTTGTTGTCTTTTTAGAATTTTGTTCTGAATTAGGCGAATTAGAACATCTCCTGAAGAGTGAGTTACTCACGAAACAGGCTTGTAGAGATAAACCATGTAGTTTTACTTTCTTCAATCTATGATATATATATATATTTATATATATATATCAATCAAAGGGGTGCTAGTAGTAAAAATTCATATCGATGGCTTTGAGAAAAGCAACCATTTTGAGTCTGACTAAAGCTTTTCGTCTGACACTCTTCAGAGTATAAAACGTCAGAATAAAGCTCTAAACTCTACGCTAGAAAATATCGGATCGGCCAATCAAAAATTCATATCGCAAGTTTAATTTGTCACTTTTATTTAAAATGTCATTCATTTTTATGCGTCTTTTATGCTTTCTAGCAAATTTATCGATCAGATCATCATTACGATTTATTTTAATATCTGTGTGAATAAAAAGAAAAGCAAATCCACTCATTCTTTCTTGGGTCTATGTGGTAGCAACAAACGGAGAGCGTGCTGCTACAAAAACATTCCAAACAATCTGTGGGAGAAAAGGGGATGATGAATTGTGTTATTACGCCCTCACTTCACGCCCCTTTTTCGGTTTTAGTTAGAAAAATTAAGGAAGATTTACTTTCTCGTTCATATCAGCATTCAAACTGAATAAGGTATTTTTTGTACACTTGATCAGCCATGCGCTAATTATTTGTTTGTCTCAAGATCTATTGTTTCAAAGAATGCTTATTTATCAAACAGAACACTTTTATGTTCAATCAAAAACGCAATCTAGTTGCTGATAGACCAAAAAGGTGAGTGTTGTTTTCTTCTTTGTTTTTTTTCGATCTGTTTTAAATTATATTTGCCTTGACTAATATATAACAGACAAAGCAGTCAGCCCACAATACTTTTTCATTTAAGAATTCTCTACGTTGCTTTCAAAGAAAGCTCAGATAGTAAATAACCTCTTTAGCATCTATAGCATTCGAAATAGTGAAATGATAGCCGATAATAAGCCATCTTTTGACTCGATGTTTTATGTGATTAATGCCAGTGTAATATTTGCTATTCATCAACAATTAACAAATTGAACCATCTTGAACGATTTGTGTGTAAGTACCTAACAAATGAATGGCTAGCACTTGAAAGACAGACTGCTATGTTATTAGTCCCTTGACAACTGTGGCGCTACCAGCCGCAAGCTCGGGGGGAGGGAGGAGGCGATTTCAGGAATTACCCTCATTACTATCAGAAAAAGCCTCTTTGCCAACAAAGAATGCCAACTTTATCCATAAAGAACGCCTGTGTCTAACTTTTGGCTACGTAAAGGCGGGGCAATGTTAAAGACATAGATTTACATCACGAAGAATACGTTGCCAAAATATTACCCCATCTCTCAACATTTTTTCATCGAATTTAGAAGAAAGAGAAGGTAGGTCCTGCCAAGACTTTATCCCAATGGCAATTGCCTCCATAGCCTCAGTGGCAATCCAAAAGCCCCCTCCCCCATCTAATTTCCTTTCAAAAGACTATATATATATATATGAAATTGACGGGTAACAAGGAATTAAAATCAAAATGCAAATTGATGATAGTCAATGTCCAAGTTTGACAAGGAAACATACTTGGTGAATCAGTGTGATCTAGTTAAATCTGACTTACGTGTTCTATACATCGTGGCCATCAAATATAGATTTTTTAAATTGTTTATTACAAATAAAATTTAGCACGGTGATGAAAAACGCCAACCAACAAATTGTCGGGTGGAAATTCTCACTGACTGAAAAGCTCGTCTGTGGAATAGTACACTGTTTTTTTCTTAATTTTTTCGAAAATCTGAGGCTGGATTGTTCTTAATTTGTTTTTAATCTAATAGGGTGTAAGCAGTGTGAGTGCTAGCTTTTTCACTCTAGGGTGGTGTGTCAGGCCTCATTTGCCAACAAAGTGAGTGAGACAGCCTTACTTTGCTGACAAATTTGAATATTTACCGAAAAAGCACTCATACATCGCTAAAAATTCTCTATTTTGAGAAAAAACGTTGTTCAAAATTGCATTTTGCAGAAGCTCAGCCTCAGCTTGTTCTTAATTTGTTCTTAACTTTTGACCAATTTTGAGGCTCGTGTTCTTATAAGATTTTTCTTATAAAAAAATGGTGTATTTGTTGTTTCTGACAGTTCTTGGCAAGAAGGATTTTCAGTATGACAAAAAGCAAGGGCAACATGTTTCACTGTATGGTTGTCAAGCTTCTGGTTGTATTAGGGCTACGTCACGAAATCTCTGTCGATTCCCCTGGATTTGCCTAATCTAGGGGCTAAACCCATTACGCAACGGGGCTTTTGTTCTTGTATCCAGGACGTCACAAATTCTTTATGGCCGTGTATATTTTGCAAACTGTTCTCTTGAGCTTAAAATTGAATATAGTACTAACAATGAGCCATTGCGCTACGCAAGCATCCCATAATGCATTTTCAGAAAGTGTGAAATCAATTATGGTTAATCCGTAGAAGTTTACTGCCATTGTTTGGATTGTCGCCTGGATAATTTGCCACCCTCGCAAAGGCTCATTGTTAGCAATGAATCTTTAAGTTCCCGTTGGTAAGAATATACAATAGAGATAGCGATCATAAACCTTCTGCAAAAACCTATTGTTAACTCTGAACGGTTGACTGGCGGGATATAGTGCCTTGAACTGAATAACATTCAAAAGACAAACGATGGGAAAGGAATTTCCGCCAGTACGTAATCAGAAAATATGTTTTCCTTACCTTGGTAACACTAAATAGCACTGTCAGCTTTTTCAAAAAGGTTTTCAAATCGGCCCTTCGCATGATGCCCAATTATAACGCTTTAATATCTATTGAAAATTTACGAGCAGAGATGCATGCGACATCGACGTCCTTTGTTGATTGCCTACGTGCATGCCAGGGTTGGTATATTGGCTTTTTTAAGCCAAATTCCACAAATTTAGCTTCTTTCGAACTTGTTTGGCTTCAGAAATTCCTTTTGGCTTGAAGTCACTCTTTGGCTTAATTTTGGCTTTTTTCCACAAGTACAGGCATAAGTACTTATTTCCTACCTTCCTTCTTTTTTCATCATTCTAACAGAAATTGACAATTCAAGCAGTTAATGCACATATTTTATTGTGATTTAGACACTTTGTTGAACATCTGTGATTTTATCCACCTTGTCCGATTGCTACGTGGTTTTCGCTTTGCTCTTCGTTCCTTCTGCCTGTTGAAGCAGGGTTTAATGACCGCGATGCGAAAAGGGGGGAGGGGGACTTGGAGGCGGTTGTGTCGTATGGACTGACTTTCTACTTCATCTAAATCCAATGATAAAATGTTGAGGGAAGGGTAAATATTCTGATAGCAAAAACGGCTAAGCCTAAAATTTTATGTTTGCTTCCCTTTTGCTTTGTTTTAATTTTACCAAAAATGGGTTCCCTTACATGTAGGGGAGAGTGGGGCTAGTTGTCACAAAATTTTTTCCTTGACCAATAACACAAAGACTGATTAAATGATAAGACTTCTAGTGTGAAATCTAAAAAGCTTACAGCTCAGGGTACTTCGCCAGCATACCAAAAAATTCAGCTGTGCATACACTTTTGGTAAAATTACATTTTTATTCAAAGAGGTCCAGTGTGACACTATGCCCCACATGTGGGGCATGTTGTCACAAGAGCTGGGGCAAATTGTCACAGAAAAAAATAAACAAAAGTGCAGGATCTGGGAAATAATCAAACATAACATCAATCAAATAAACATTACTCAAACAATCCACAGCTATTCAGTGTTATACTTGTCCAATGCTTGGCAATGAAAATCAAAAATTGTTGAAGCTCTGTTTGTCTGGCCGGTTGTTGGAAAAGGAAGCTTCATAATGATATCTTCAACTGTGTGTGAGCAGCTATCTTCCTTGTTGGGAAAGAAGAAAACTTTCCTATCATTGATAAATAGCTTGCTTCGTAAGAATGATGTTTCCACTGTAGAATCATCCCAGTCAAGCTCCATTATTCTTCCAACATAGAATCTAGAAGATTTCCTTCCAGCAAACTTGACCAAAATATGGTCATCCTTGTCTAGTTGCTCCATTGTTGGAGATCTTAAAATCTGTCTTTCTTCTGTGATGCTGTGGCTGTCACTATCATCACTGACATCATCGCAAATAAAATCACTCTCTTCACTGGTCTCAGTGTCACTCAACTCACTTTCATCTTTCTCTGCCTTTTTTCTATGTCCAATTCTTGTAGTGTTTTTTCTCTTTTCATCAGTTTTCTTCCTAGTTTTTGTGACTTCTTTACCCTCAATGTGCTCTGTTTCTGAAGATGAATACAAGATTTTCTTCTTTGCCAAATTCTTCTTTGATTTCTTCAAATTGGCTTCCTCTTCTATGGCTCTTTTAACCGGGGTATCAGTGAAAATTTGCGATTTCCCCTTTTTCCTTTTATTGGAGCCATCTTTTCTTGGCTCTCTTTTACCAAATGGCCGGATTTGTTCAGCACTGGTAGACACACTTGTAGACAACATGTCTAAATGTTGGCTTTGACTTGGTGTGCATTGGACATTAGCAGCTCCTCTTGATGTTGAAGGAGTTGGTTGCATGTTAGCAGGTGTTGCATGCTCTTGTGTAGATTCCAACATGGGTCTGTCTGTAGAATATGCTGACAAGAACTTGTCTTGAGGAAATACATTTCTGTCAAATGGCCAGATTCCAGTTACTCTAAACCCAGAAGTAATATTGGCTGGTGTCATAGCTTTGGGAAAGGCATAGGACACAATACTTGGTATTACATGAATAGTCATTGATTTCCCAGCATTCTCTTTTTGCCTCATCCAATTGTCAACACCTTGATTGAAAAATGTCTTGAAGGGACCAAATACAGTCTTGTCAAGGGGCTGCAGTTCATGTGAACAATGTGGTGGGAAGCTCAGCATGGTAATATTGTTTGCTTTTGCATAATTGATCACCTCCAAAGAGATATGAGAGCTGTGGTTATCAAGTAACAAAAGTATTGGCTGTTCCTTTGTAGGTTTTGCAAACTTCACAAAGTGCTTCATGTACTTTACAAAAGTTTCTTCTGTCATCCATCCACTAGCTTTTGAATGCCCAGTGGCAGAGCTCCCAGTGGGTGCAGTTAAAAGCCAATGGTCTTGGATGTTCACCCTTGGAAACACAAAGAATGGTGGAATATGATTTCCAATTGCATTAACAGCACAGCATAGTGTAACAAGCTGTCCTCTCTCTTGGGATACTGCTGAACCCACTTGTTTGGCCCCCTTCTTCGCAAGTATCTTAGGGGGTCTTTGTACAGTTGTCACCCCTGTTTCATCCAGATTCCAGATCTGATCAGCACTATAACCCTCAGGTTGGTTAAGAACTCTCTCTAAATTATCAAAAAACATTACAACATTATGTTCATTGAAATTTGCCATTCTTTGAATTGAGGTTGCTTCAGGCTTTCTTACTGAAATATTTTGATGCCTTTGCAAGAAGCAACGAATCCAGTCCTTTCCAGCCATCTCTTCACGGATCCATGATTCTGGAATATTCTTTACTTCATTTTGAACAGCCAACTTGTAAGCCAAAGACCTCAGCTCAGGCATAGTAATGCCATAAAAAATTGCAGCTGCCTTCAGGACATACTGAACAAGGTCAGCTTCCAAGGTATCATTTAAAACACGTCTTGTTTGTTTGTATCCAAGGTGAACATCAGCTAAGCTTTCTTTTCCTTTCATCAATTTCATATAACGTGTTAAAGTGCGATAATTAACATCATTCAATGTTGCACTTTTACGAATGCTCATTCCCGATTTGACAGCCTGAACAGCAGCTTCAATGTTTTCTTAGGTGTTTTGGCTCTTTCAGTTTTCCTCTGGTATTTGCGAACCATCTTGCGAGCTAAAGACAAAAAGGAAGATTACATACAAATAACTCTATATAAGAACAAAAATTAAGAACAAATATAAAGTATGACCAATTTTCACTCATAAAAATTGTCTTTTCTACTCCATCTGTTAAAACAAATAACATTTTTTTCCTTTAGGATTTCTCGTAAACAGCAATAGATTGTTTTAACAATTAAAAAATATCCTAATACCCACTCCCCCTATTCCCCCTCCCATTCGAAGGGATATTTGTAAATTACTTTACATCATTTTTTGATGACCCCCCCCCCCCCCGCAACTTTATGAAAATCTAGAAAACACTCACACCCACCCTATAATATACTTCGAAATAGAATGTGAGGACCAAATCATTGAAATTTTAGCATGTTGTCATTGTTGAAGGTTAGATCAATTTTGAGACAACTTGCCCCACCCCCAAGTTAGCAGAAATGGGCCTAATGTTTCCAAAAACGCTTGAGGAATGCAAAAGAACAATAGCTAGAATGATAAAACAGTGCAATTTGATAAGAAAATAAATCGCAACTTTCTGCAGAACATAATATCGAAATAGTCCTACCTTTTTCCCAAAAAACAAAATTCGTTTTCAGGCTCGACAAAAACGATCACAGGCTTGCACTGGAAACAGCATGGTCAAGTAAGAAATGAATGTCATGTCAAATGAACACATCATGGTGCCCACCTTTAAAGGTCGTGGCGACAGCCTCGAAAATTTAGCCATTCTTCTGTAAACAAGGCTGTGACAACTTACCCCTGTGACAACTAGCCCCACTCTCCCCTACATCATGTGTTAGAATTCTATGAATACAATGAAAAAGTGTTCCATCAGTCAGTTGAAGAATACCTAAGCATTTTCACAACAGTGAAAAATTTAAGCCGTGGGTAGAGAATTGCGTAAGGGTTAAAGGAGGTCAAGCACCCTATGGATTGAACAAAAAAAGTTACTTCTAGCCTCGTTTACTACTTGAAATTTTCTATTGTTTTGCCGCCTTGTTTACGTTTTGGCTTAATTTGGCTTCTTTCCAACATTGATTTGGCTTGAAGCCCCAAAAGAATCTACCAACCCTGGTGCATGCAAGCATACGTATACATTGGGGGTCACAAAAGTATGGGGACGTTGTTAAAAATGGCGACTCACAGAACCAAAGGGCCTAAGCTGACAGGTTTTTAAAACAGAAGTTCAGCGCAAAAGGGATTTTGTAATGAACGCTTTCGACACGAATCTTTTTGCGTAATTGCAATGGCTTTTGAATCAAATTAGATTTGAAAGATTACCGTTTTGTGGGCGAAAAGTCAGGGAAACGCTGGACCTGCTTCAGAAAATTTCTGTAAGATATTTTCGAAGGATTCATAAAAAAATGCCTCAAAGTACAGACAATACTTAATAAGTATAAGATAATTTAATTAAACTTGAAACTAAATACGTGCACTTTTGTTGTGACTTTAAATATATTACCGAGAAGATTATTTTGGCTGAGATATCAGGCTTTAGGTTGTTAAAAGTGATATCAGGTGAACAATTTCTAAAACTGGCATTTAGTGATCAAAATAGCTTACTTGCTAAATAACATAGACGCTTTGGGTGTAGATGATTCTTTTCATTAATTTCAAAAGCATAATAAACGTTGAGCGTTTATAGAAATAGATCCTAAATAGAACTGATTCCCCCCCCTCCCCCTCCCCCAACGGATTTCGAGTAATTGACCTCTGGGAAATTGGGGTGGGTGACGCGACTGGTTCTGAGGAGACGAAAACATGTGTTAAATTTCGCGTTTCTAAAAGATTGAACAATCCAATAACAGGCTGAACACCTCAAGAACACCCTGAGAACAAACTATTAAGCGGCTTAACACCCTTTAAAACATATCGAAAAATGATTTGGTCAATCAATCAAAATTAATTTTGGGGCGGGAAAGGGCCTGATAGGTCTAATGCTGTTGGTGTTGTTGCAACCAACTGATGTTTTGCCCGCCTGAAGTGTGAACGGGGATTTATACATGCGGAGCAAATTCAAATTTGACTCCCTTTGTGCATTCAAGCAATTTCTCGATGTTTTGAGACTCTTTCACATCCAGTGACAGTAGATGTTGTTTAGACTTGCTTACACAGAGATATTTCATTAGTAATTATATACGATATATTACTTGACTTATTGTCCTCCAAACAATTATTCTTCTCATCCGCTAATTTGCCCAAATGGTCACGGCATAGAATAGAAATTAACTATTATGTGGAAACGACGGACTCTATTAACTATGTTTAAACGGATGTGTTAACCAAGAAATCCAGAGAACTTTCAATGTAAAGCAAAACAACCTCGTAAAGTAGCTGGAGATTTGTCGATCCCAAAACTATTTCCTGTTTTTACCTTGGCAAACCATTTCTACTTTGGAATATATTTGTTGCTATATTCTTTAACACCTTTCATATTTCCAGATGATTTTCATAATCACCATTATACCTTAGACCATTGTTACTTAACTCTCATACGCCAAAGAACATACGTATTGTGATGTTGTAATCACATTCTGTCGGTGTTGCATTGCTGTTGTGGGATGAGAGAAAGTTACTTAATAACTATGAATAGAAAAGCGTTTGCCTGGGAAAGGGCCTGAGAAGTCTAATGCTGTTGGTGTTGTTACAACCAACTGATATTTTGCGCGCCAAATGTGTGAACGGGGGTTTGTACACGCGGAGCAAATTCGAGTTTGACTCGCTTTGTGCATTCAAGCAATTTCCCGTTGTTTTCAAATCTTTCACATCCAGTGACAATGTAAAATTACGACACGTCACTTGACTACCTATTGTCTTCCAAACAATTATTCTTCTCATCCGCTAATTTGCCCAAATGGTCACGACATAGAATAGAAATGAACTATTCTGTGGTCACGGTATGCTAATGCCTGGGCAAATTTATTGCATGTAATAAGAAAACATTTTAGTCATTGCTTCTTTTTTATATTAAATGCAAAAGTACTTCTTTATTGACGTGGTATGGTACTTGCCCTCTTTGTCTTTTGGCCTTGTTCCTAGCTATAGTTCAAAGCAAATTTTATTTTTTGTGTCTATGCTATTATCATTCCAGTATATGTGCAGTTAAGATTAAGGAGCTATTATGGAGATCTTGGTACCGCAATTCGATTAATAGAGGTTCAGAGATTAGGAACTTTAGGACCTAGGTTTTGGGTTAGGATTTTCGTAAAAAGGCGTGTAATGAAAATACGTGTAATGTGGGTTTGTCAAGATTTATGGATTCTTTTTTACGTGCTTTTTGAGATTTATTCAAGGGTGACGTATTCAGATTGTAGGAGAATGAAATTTCTAACTTTACTTGAAAAATTATCTTTAGACCTGTAAATCTACTGTACTTACTGAATCGATATTTGGAAGTATCCCTGATTCCAGTTCTATAGATTTTTTTAATGATTACCAAACTTTTACTCATAATGATAAGGCTCCATACCCAATCTTTTTTAGTGCATCAAACTGTTCTTTTCTGCTAAGTTTCATAATGTTTCACCAAAGTACGACTGAAATACGATAATGCAGTTTTTAAGGTCTGAAGCAAAGCACCCGGGTCTAAAAATAGCCCAAGGGAGCAACTTTCTGATGGGGTCCATATCCTACCCTTTCCAGGGTATCAAACTATTCCTTTTTGCAAAATTTTATGCTGGAATTACAATTTGCACAGTTGTTTGATTAACAGCCCTGACTAAAAAGTATGGTGTGTTTATCGTGAAGACAACCAACGGCAAACCTTGTGACGTCACTGATTCTTATTCTTTGTCACTCATTGTTTTCAAAACCCCCATAAAAAACTTTCCTGCGCAAATTTTCGAGCTGATTTCTTTCAATTCCTTCAAAAAAATATGTATCAGATTTTATTTCATAGGCACTTTAAGGGTGCCTACAAACAACAGGGGGAGCGTAGCGTCATTTCCCCACACCCCACATCCCCACGTCCACACGCCCACACGCCCACACGCCCCACGCCCCACGCCCCACGCCTCCTTATACTTACGTGCCTGGGGTAGATTGTTGGTGATGGCGGCTTTCAGTTGCAGAGAAAGGGCCGGATGGAACAGCTCGCCTTCAAAGTTTCATTTTCCGAATATTGCTGTTCCTGTCTGCATATTGGGGATGCTGAAAATCATTCAGCTGGCCATCTTATCTATTTTAAACAATTCATCCAAATAAAGAAAACTCTTTTTCTTCCGTGACCTGACACAAAAGCGAACTACTTGCTTATGAAAAAGGAAAAATTGCTATAAGTAGTTTTATGACAGGTATTTTTGTGTTCTCATTCAGCTTCACAGAACAAGCTTTTGCCAACAAGTTAAGATAACATACATACAGTTTGAAAATTGCCATACTCAGCAGCACCTATTTTTACTTGGAAATTTTGCAAAAGTGGGGTGCACGTTTGACGTCATAGCCAAGTTTCAGAGCGAAGCATATCAGATCATTATTATGCCAAAGCAGTCTAAATTGTTTATATGACTGAAATTAAGGTATTTTCACATGAATGCAGCGCTGTAATACACGTTCATTATGCTGCTTTTAAAATATGAAATTTCATACAAAAGTGAATACATCTCAAATACATATTCAAGCTAAATTGAAATGTTATCGATATTCTAAAATCTATGCCCATAAATGTATTTTCAATGACAGGATAATGCAAAATAGAAGGAATAGAATAACCTATCTAGGACTATTAAAGAGAAAATATTTCTACTTGAAATTCATAAATATCTTCTTTCTTCTTCTTTTTCTTCTTTCTTCTTCTTCTTCTTCTTTCTTCTTCTCTCTTCTTCTTTCTTCTTCTTTCTGCTTCTTTCTTCTTTTCTCTTTTTGTTTCTTCTTGTTTCTTCTTGTTTCTTCTTGTAGTAGCCACGCGTGTTGTTTGGAATGACCAGGCAAAAGACAGCGTTTTTCCAGGATGATAGAAATTGGAACGACTTGGGAAACTCTGTGTTTTTGTCATGACTAGCAATAGCGAGAGTGCTTTTGAGTTTTCTCAAGTTAGATTTCAGAAAGACCAAGATTGAAAACTTTGGAGCTTTTTAGCATTATTAGAACCATAGACCATTTGAATAGTCTTGAAACATGGCATTTTTAGATGGTCATTACCAGCATGACGAATATTACCCTAGCTTCGCTCCTAAAAATGTTTTATTCCATATTTACTCCAATTGATTAAAAAATGTTTTGATTTTCTTGCAGATGGAGGTTTATTTAGTGAATTCAAGGAAGCTTTTCCTTCACGTGCTGGTTATTTTGATCCTCTCTCTTGAAAATCCCGTCAAAGGTTAGCATAAAGATAGTCTATATGATAAACTTCCAATATATAGGAAAAGATTGCTGATTTCTTTTGACTGCTTATTTATTTGGTTTGCAGTTTGCTATGCTACCGACAGAGCAACGTTCTTAGAAATTTGTAGAAAAATGGGGGAGTCTACATTGTTAGTGATATCTAATTTGCATTGATTAAAAAAGTCAAGGTAGACAACTTTTTATAAGAATACCCTAATTTTGCGTACAAGTGCAATACAGGCTTGGCTAAAAAAACATGTAGAAGAAAGATGTCAACAATATTCAATTCTGGCTATTATTCTTGATTGCTTTTTTCAATTTTTAATTGATTCTCTAATCAGTCCGGCCGCTCTATAGCAGTGTTACAATTTTGAATTTTTTGGAAATTGTTTATTTGCAATTTTGTGGCCCAGTCCAAACACCTTAGTCCTACATTCCTGATTTGGACCAACTTCTAAAGAGTCTTTTTGCACCTAGAATTCTCAAGTCATTACTTTGGCTTCTACTAAGTAATTCAAAATACTTCTATAAGTTGTTTGAAATTTGACTGCACCTCTATTATGCTATCTCAATCTCATGGATATATTTTATTGTTCTGTACACTCAGGTCAAAGCTGCTCTCCATCTTGCAGCTCTCAAGGAACTTGCATTTCAAGTGCCTGCCATTGCAACGCAGGATATACTGGAAATGGATTAACCTGCACTGGTTCGTTAACATTGAGCTTTATCTAAATTAGCTAGATGCATTGACTTTTGCTTGATAGTAGATGCAGCTACTCTTGTGAAAGAAAAGCGTGTTATTTTAAGCAAGGCCTCTTAATGTAAATGGTAATTTTTATAGATTGAGCATCTCAACGCATTGGTCGGGCTGTGTTTTTGCAAGAAAAGTATTATATATAAGAATATTGATAATCGGATAGGATAAAGGTAGGGGTATAATAAGGATAGAGGTACCCAGCATAAGGGAAAATGTATGACGCTGGTCATGGCGGCTCGGAATCGCGGGCGCAAATACTCCACATGGCTTCAACATATGCAGAAAAACTTCAAAATCAAGGTATAAAAGTGAATTGTTTTCGAAAATCTGGCACACATACTACTGGATGAACCCTATAAAACATAAATGCTTAATCAAGGTATATCAAGAAATAACTTTTAATCAATATTTCGAAACAACAAAGCAACAAACAAAATTGCAGGTAATATCGAAGTATCTACATTTATAAAAAATTAGAATATTGAGGTGAAACATTGTCGCAGCAAAAAGGGTAACCCACAGAAAAATCTAGCTATTGCTACAACACGAAACCATTGCCAAAGTTAATGCCAAGCACAGGGGCGGACTGGCTGGTCGGGCCCATTCGGGCGATCGCCCGAAGGGCCGGTCGGTTTAAGGGCCGGCTGATTAAAGTACAAAAAAATGAATAAGCTTAAAAAGTGAATCATCATCATCATCAGTAACGGAAGGGTCAAGGCTGACCCGCCGTGGACCCGCCGCCAAGTGTCCCTGTCTTGCGCCTTCCGAAGCAGCTCGGCCATGGTCATTCCCAGTAAATCTTCCACGTCGTTTTCCAGTTTCCTTCGTGGTCTTCCTCGTTTCCTCTTTCCGTCCACCATTCCCGAAAGAATGTCATTTCCCAAGCCTTTACTTCTCGCAACATGGCCAGATTTTATGCTGTTTATGAGGGTTGCTTGGCCGATCCTTTCCAGGACCCATTCGTTCGTTTTCCTTTCTCTCCAACGATACATAAGATTTTAACCTGCCCTGATGTCTTTTTACTTAGCTTTTGCTTGAAGCTGGTCATGTTTTTGCCTAAGCAAATTCTATTGCTAAATGTAATAAATTTAAAAGTCCAAAATATAGAGTTCACTAAGCGATTCGCTCTGTGATGTGAAGCAATGAAGAGGACATACGTAGAACGAGGGAAGAGCAAGAAGACTTCAACCAAAGGTGGTGCACAGAAATTTCTAGAGGAAAAGCTGTGAGACTTAAAAAGGATTCAGCTATGATACAAAGCTTTTTTATCAAGCAAAAGCCACAAACGTCACAAAAAACAGCAGGGTCTTGCTCTTGCTCCTTTCAATAAATCATAGTCAATAGAAATAAATTCATACAAGTTATGGTAAGTTTATTAGGCCTATACTATCATAAATGCACCCTCCGCCCAACAGGACTACAGTGCTACACGAAAAAATTTCAACAGGGCTGCCTATGTTTTCATTTTGGGGTCAGAAATTGACAAATCGATATCATTGGGCTGCTGAAAATCATTGTGGTTTTCCGGAGGATTAGAAAATTATTTGTCACAAGTTGAGTGTGATAGAAGCTTTTCCACTTAAAATATATAAAGAACAGATCACGTAGTGATTTTTCGCAGCCAAAGCTGGAGTCCTTCATGTTAGTGTTCTTAGAAAAACACCTTTTAGATGACATCCAGAACCGAGGGGCAAATCACTTGATAAAAATCTCGTACACCTATGGTGGAAATTCTATTGTTTTTATGAGAAAATCCCTGGAAATCTTTTTTTTGTGGATACCTCGTACACTTTTTGCAAGAGTGAACTACCCCTCGTCCAGAACGATAACATTATCAACATATAATTTACTGTATTTAGAAATAAAGTCAAACCAATAAGTTAAAATTTTTATTTATTTACTATTTAGTCAACAAATGACATATTCAACATGTTCTGTTAACCATGTTCTATTAACCAGCATTCATCCGCGTACAAAATTACTAAAAACAACTGGTTATTATCATTTCTTTTGAATGTATTGCCAATTCATGGGAAATGGAGGAAACTGGCCGTTACTTTTAATTACTATGGATGTAACTTAGTACATTTTTCCCCTATGCTGAGGTACCCATGCACAGGTACGTTTCTTGAATTGAAAGAGATGTCAGTTTAATCTTGAAAATATTCAAGTCAAAATCATTGATACAAAATACATTGAGTCAATTTTGATAAAATTTAACAATAGCATGAATTAGTCCTCATTCTATTTCGAATAATTTCTGTTTTAGTGTTATTTGTCCACTTGTTGATTTTAGATATAGATGAGTGTGCATTAGGAACGCATAGCTGTCATGGAAATGCTGCATGCACAAATACTGGAGGCTCATTCACCTGTGCTTGCAATGCTGGTTATAATGGACCTGGGACATCATGCACAGGTACAATACATGTATTGATGGAGATGGCAGTTTAATATTACAAATATGCAAGTCAAAATCATTGATACAAAATACATTGAGTCAATTTTGATAAAATTTAACAATAGCATGAATTAGTCCTCATTCTATTTCGAATAATTTCTGTTTTAGTGTTATTTGTCCACTTGTTGATTTTAGATATAGATGAGTGTACATTAGGGACGCATAACTGTCATCCAAATGCTGCATGCACAAATACTGCAGGCTCATTCACCTGTGCTTGCAATGCTGGTTATAATGGACCTGGGACAGATGAGTGTGCATTAGGAACGCATAGCTGTCATGGAAATGCTGCATGCACAAATACTGGAGGCTCATTCACCTGTGCTTGCAATGCTGGTTATACAGGAGTTGGTACATCATGCACAGGTACAATACATGTATTGATAGAGATGGCAGTTTAATATTACAAATATGCAAGTCAAAGTCATTGATACAAAATACATTGAGTCAATTTTGATAAAATTTAACAATAGCATGAATTATCTCTCATTCTATTTCGAATAATTTCTGTTTTAGCGTTATTTGTCCATTTGTTGCTTCTAGATCAAGACGAATGTACATTAGGGACGCATAACTGTGATTCAAATGCTGCATGCACAAATACTGGAGGCTCATTCACCTGTGCTTGCAATGCTGGTTATACAGGAGTTGGTACATCATGCACAGGTACAATACATGTATTGATGGAGATGGCAGTTTAATATTACAAATATGCAAGTCAAAGTCATTGATACAAAATACATTGAGTCAATTTTGATAAAATTTAACAATAGCATGAATTATTTCTCATTCTATTTCGAATAATTTCTGTTTTAGCGTTATTTGTCCACTTGTTGATTTTAGATCAAGACGAATGTACATTAGGGACGCATAACTGTGATTCAAATGCTGCATGCACAAATACTGCAGGCTCATTCACCTGTGCTTGCAAAAGTGGCTTTACCGGAAGTGGAACATCATGCACAGGTACAATACATGTATTGATAGAGATGGCAGTTTAATATTACAAATATGCAAGTCAAAGTCATTGATACAAAATACATTGAGTCAATTTTGATAAAATTTAACAATAGCATGAATTATTTCTCATTCTATTTCGAATGATTTCTGTTTTAGCGTTATTTGTCCACTTGTTGATTTTAGATCAAGACGAATGTACATTAGGGACGCATAACTGTGATTCAAATGCTGCATGCACAAATACTGCAGGCTCATTCACCTGTGCTTGCAAAAGTGGCTTTACCGGAAGTGGAACATCATGCACAGGTACAATACATGTATTGATAGAGATGGCAGTTTAATATTACAAATATGCAAGTCAAAGTCATTGATACAAAATACATTGAGTCAATTTTGATAAAATTTAACAATAGCATGAATTAGTCCTCATTCTATTTCGAATAAATTCTGTTTTAGCGTTATTTGTCCACTTGTTGATTTTAGATATAGATGAGTGTGCATTAGGAACGCATAGCTGTCATGCAAATGCTGCATGCACAAATACTGGAGGCTCATTTACCTGTGCTTGCAATGCTGGTTATACAGGAGTTGGTACATCATGCACAGGTACAATACATGTATTAATGGAGATGGCAGTTTAATATTACAAATATGCAAGTCAACATCATTGATACAAAATACATTGAGTCAATTTTGATAACATTTAACAATAGCATGAATTAGTCCTCATTCTATTTCGAATAATTCCTGTTTTAGCGTTATTTGTCCACTTGTTGTTTTTAGATATCAATGAGTGTACATTAGGAACGCATAGCTGTCATGCAAATGCTGCATGCACAAATACTGGAGGCTCATTCACCTGTGCTTGCAATGCTGGTTATACAGGAGTTGGTACATCATGCACAGGTACAATACATGTATTGATGGAGATGGCAGTTTAATATTACAAATATGCAAGTCAAAATCATTGATACAAAATACATTGAGTCAATTTTGATAAAATTTAACAATAGCATGAATTAGTCCTCATTCTATTTCGAATAATTTCTGTTTTAGTGTTATTTGTCCACTTGTTGATTTTAGATATAGATGAGTGTACATTAGGGACGCATAGCTGTCATCCAAATGCTGCATGCACAAATACTGCAGGCTCATTCACCTGTGCTTGCAATGCTGGTTATAATGGACCTGGGACATCATGCACAGGTACAATACATGTATTGATGGAGATGGCAGTTTAATATTACAAATATGCAAGTCAAAATCATTGATACAAAATACATTGAGTCAATTTTGATAAAATTTAACAATAGCATGAATTAGTCCTCATTCTATTTCGAATAATTTCTGTTTTAGCGTTATTTGTCCACTTGTTGATTTTAGATATAGATGAGTGTGCATTAGGAACGCATAGCTGTCATGCAAATGCTGCATGCACAAATACTGCAGGCTCATTCACCTGTGCTTGCAATGCTGGTTATACAGGAGTTGGTACATCATGCACAGGTACAATACATGTATTGATGGAGATGGCAGTTAAATATTACAAATATGCAAGTCAAAGTCATTGATACAAAATACATTGAGTCAATTTTGATAAAATTTAACAATAGCATGAATTATTTCTCATTCTATTTCGAATAATTTCTGTTTTAGCGTTATTTGTCCACTTGTTGATTTTAGATATAGATGAGTGTGCATTAGGAACGCATAGCTGTCATGCAAATGCTGCATGCACAAATACTGGAGGCTCATTCACCTGTGCTTGCAATGCTGGTTATACAGGAGTTGGTACATCATGCACAGGTACAATACATGTATTGATGGAGATGGCAGTTTAATATTACAAATATGCAAGTCAAAGTCATTGATACAAAATACATTGAGTCAATTTTGATAAAATTTAACAATAGCATGAATTATTTCTCATTCTATTTCGAATAATTTCTGTTTTAGCGTTATTTGTCCACTTGTTGATTTTAGATATAGATGAGTGTGCATTAGGAACGCATAGCTGTCATGGAAATGCTGCATGCACAAATACTGGAGGCTCATTCACCTGTGCTTGCAATGCTGGTTATACAGGAGTTGGTACATCATGCACAGGTACAATACATGTATTGATAGAGATGGCAGTTTAATATTACAAATATGCAAGTCAAAGTCATTGATACAAAATACATTGAGTCAATTTTGATAAAATTTAACAATAGCATGAATAAGTCCTCATTCTATTTCGAATAAATTCTGTTTTAGCGTTATTTGTCCACTTGTTGATTTTAGATATAGATGAGTGTACATTAGGAACGCATAGCTGTCATGCAAATGCTGCATGCACAAATACTGGAGGCTCATTCACCTGTGCTTGCAATGCTGGTTATACAGGAGTTGGTACATCATGCACAGGTACAATACATGTATTGATGGAGATGGCAGTTTAATATTACAAATATGCAAGTCGAAATCATTGATACAAAAAAATTGACTCAATTTTGATAAAATTTAACAATAGCATGAATAAGTCCTCATTCTATTTCAAATAATTTCTGTTTTAGCGTTATTTGTTCACTTGTTGATTTTAGATATAGATGAGTGTACATTAGGAACGCATAGCTGTCATGCAAATGCTGCATGCACAAATACTGGAGGCTCATTCACCTGTGCTTGCAATGCTGGTTATACAGGAGTTGGTACATCATGCACAGGTACAATACATGTATTGATGGAGATGGCAGTTTAATATTACAAATATGCAAGTCAAAATCATTGATACAAAATACATTGAGTCAATTTTGATAAAATTTAACAATAGCATGAATTAGCCCTTATGTTATTTCGAATAATTTCTGTTTTAGCGTTATTTGTCCTCTTGTTGTTTTTAGATATCAATGAGTGTACATTAGGGACGCATAACTGTGATTCAAATGCTGCTTGCACAAATACTGCAGGCTCATTCACCTGTGCTTGCAATGTTGGTTATACAGGAGTTGGTACATCATGCACAGGTACAATACATTTATTGATGGAGACGTCAGTTTAATCTTAAAAATATGCAAGTCAAAATCATTGATACAAAAAAAATTGACTCAATTTTGATAAAATTTAACAATAGCATGAATAAGTCCTCATTCTATTTCGAATAATTTCTGTTTTAGCGTTATTTGTTCACTTGTTGTTATTTGTTCACATTTTCATTCATCAGACTTCTATTAAGAAGAATAATCCTAAGAAGTATTTGCGGCCTGTATTAGATATAGATGAGTGTAGATATAGATGAGTGAATTTTAGATATAGATGAGTGTACATTGGGAAGGCATAACTGTGATGCAAATGCTGCATGCGCAAATACTGGAGGCTCATTCACCTGTGCTTGCAATGCTGGTTATACAGGAGTTGGTACATCATGCACAGGTACAATACATGTATTGATGGAGATGGCAGTTAAATATTACAAATATGCAAGTCAAAGTCATTGATACAAAATACATTGAGTCAATTTTGATAAAATTTAACAATAGCATGAATTATTTCTCATTCTATTTCGAATAATTTCTGTTTTAGCGTTATTTGTCCACTTGTTGATTTTAGATATAGATGAGTGTGCAATAGGAACGCATAGCTGTCATGCAAATGCTGCATGCACAAATACTGGAGGCTCATTCACCTGTGCTTGCAATGCTGGTTATACAGGAGTTGGTACATCATGCACAGGTACAATACATGTATTGATGGAGATGGCAGTTTAATATTACAAATATGCAAGTCAAAGTCATTGATACAAAATACATTGAGTCAATTTTGATAAAATTTAACAATAGCATGAATTATTTCTCATTCTATTTCGAATAATTTCTGTTTTAGCGTTATTTGTCCACTTGTTGATTTTAGATATAGATGAGTGTGCATTAGGAACGCATAGCTGTCATGGAAATGCTGCATGCACAAATACTGGAGGCTCATTCACCTGTGCTTGCAATGCTGGTTATACAGGAGTTGGTACATCATGCACAGGTACAATACATGTATTGATAGAGATGGCAGTTTAATATTACAAATATGCAAGTCAAAGTCATTGATACAAAATACATTGAGTCAATTTTGATAAAATTTAACAATAGCATGAATTATCTCTCATTCTATTTCGAATAATTTCTGTTTTAGCGTTATTTGTCCATTTGTTGCTTCTAGATCAAGACGAATGTACATTAGGGACGCATAACTGTGATTCAAATGCTGCATGCACAAATACTGGAGGCTCATTCACCTGTGCTTGCAATGCTGGTTATACAGGAGTTGGTACATCATGCACAGGTACAATACATGTATTGATGGAGATGGCAGTTTAATATTACAAATATGCAAGTCGAAATCATTGATACAAAAAAATTGACTCAATTTTGATAAAATTTAACAATAGCATGAATAAGTCCTCATTCTATTTCAAATAATTTCTGTTTTAGCGTTATTTGTTCACTTGTTGATTTTAGATATAGATGAGTGTACATTAGGAACGCATAGCTGTCATGCAAATGCTGCATGCACAAATACTGGAGGCTCATTCACCTGTGCTTGCAATGCTGGTTATACAGGAGTTGGTACATCATGCACAGGTACAATACATGTATTGATGGAGATGGCAGTTTAATATTACAAATATGCAAGTCAAAGTCATTGATACAAAATACATTGAGTCAATTTTGATAAAATTTAACAATAGCATGAATTATTTCTCATTCTATTTCGAATAATTTCTGTTTTAGCGTTATTTGTCCATTTGTTGCTTCTAGATCAAGACGAATGTACATTAGGGACGCATAACTGTGATTCAAATGCTGCATGCACAAATACTGCAGGCTCATTCACCTGTGCTTGCAAAAGTGGCTTTACCGGAAGTGGAACATCATGCACAGGTACAATACATGTATTGATAGAGATGGCAGTTTAATATTACAAATATGCAAGTCAAAGTCATTGATACAAAATACATTGAGTCAATTTTGATAAAATTTAACAATAGCATGAATTATTTCTCATTCTATTTCGAATAAATTCTGTTTTAGCGTTATTTGTCCACTTGTTGATTTTAGATATAGATGAGTGTACATTAGGAACGCATAGCTGTCATGCAAATGCTGCATGCACAAATACTGGAGGCTCATTCACCTGTGCTTGCAATGCTGGTTATACAGGAGTTGGTACATCATGCACAGGTACAATACATGTATTGATGGAGATGGCAGTTTAATATTACAAAGATGCAAGTCAAAATCATTGATACAAAATACATTGAGTCAATTTTGATAAAATTTAACAATAGCATGAATTAGTCCTCATTCTATTTCGAATAATTTCTGTTTTAGTGTTATTTGTCCACTTGTTGATTTTAGATATAGATGAGTGTACATTAGGGACGCATAGCTGTCATGCAAATGCTGCATGCACAAATACTGGAGGCTCATTCACCTGTGCTTGCAATGCTGGTTATACAGGAGTTGGTACATCATGCACAGGTACAATACATGTATTGATGGAGATGGCAGTTTAATATTACAAATATGCAAGTCAAAGTCATTGATACAAAATACATTGAGTCAATTTTGATAAAATTTAACAATAGCATGAATTATTTCTCATTCTATTTCGAATAATTTCTGTTTTAGCGTTATTTGTCCACTTGTTGATTTTAGATCAAGACGAATGTACATTAGGGACGCATAACTGTGATTCAAATGCTGCATGCACAAATACTGCAGGCTCATTCACCTGTGCTTGCAAAAGTGGCTTTACCGGAAGTGGAACATCATGCACAGGTACAATACATGTATTGAT